CTATTTACATTAAAAACAAAAAATAAAAAAGTTGTCCTAGAACCTTAGTTTCTGCCGTCGACTCTGCCATCCACGACTCCGCGCCCCCATTACCGGCTCCGCTGCCACTACTCTCGACACCGCCATCATCACTTCCAACACCATTGATACTGCCACTCACGGCGCCGCCATTTTCACTTTTGACACCATTGCCGGTTTTATAAATAAAAAATGCCGGCTTGCTGTAAAAAATATATTTTATTGAGATACAAATAAAATAAGGGCATTAACTTTCAGTCCCTCAATTAGTGCATACATTGAAATATAGTCCCCACATTTTTAAGTGTGTAAATGTCTCTCCTCAATAGTCGAATTGTTGTAAATGTGATCATCGTCCACATTGTAAATGTCACCTCTCAAAGGACCATATTTAAGGATCCGAATATGTTATTTATATTTAACCTATTTAGTTATGGTAAAATTCCACCCGGAATTGTATTTCATATTTAATTAAGAATCACTTGTGAGAGTTTCTCCCGTCTTGACCCATTCTATTCGATCGGTATGGATGTCGAGGTCATGTTTGTGGTGGTAAGACGGGTCAAACTCATCGTTGAATAACTCGAACCGGATTTGGGGTGGCAGCAGGTCAGGTCAGATTTATATCGGGTGAAGGCTCATCCGCGTCCACCCGTTAATTTTTCATATTCCACTCACTCGTCCATCATCCATTAAAAACAACATCCACATTCAACCCATCCATCATGAGCGGGTTATCGGGTGGATCGGGTGAGTAACGGGTGAATATAAATGTTCTAACTTGAAAAACAAAATAAGTAAATTATAAATGTAAATTATGACAATTAAAAACTAAAAATTAAAAATTCATTGAATAATAACAACAAAAACTTGAGCAATTAAGTATATTAAAGTCATTAATTCACTGCCAATAAAGAAAGAAGTGATTGTCAAACAAAGTATCATAAAACTTTTTCAAGCTGTCAAACACTACATACATCGGTACAAAACTATTTTTGAAGTTCAACTGTCACTTCTTGAAACTCTTCAACTGTCTTTATTTCACCATATTTCATAGATATGTGTCCTCTTCATTAACAAATACATATCTATTACTTCGTAATATATTAATATTAATTATTATATATTATTAAAATATTATTATATTTTTTAGTGATTCATATATCAGTATAAAATACAGAGTAATAATTACCAATAGAAGTCTAAAACATCTTTTCACGTCTAGGCTTTGTCATGCCTCACGCATTTTAGAACACTGGACAAAGGTAGTACTCCGTATTATTTTTACATTTAGATCTCGTTTGGTAACATTAAAATTGACTGAATCGATTGATTTTACGGAAATTTATGAAGTTCTGGATCAAATAATTGGATTAACTGATTTTGTTGATTTATGAAAAAATTATATTTAAATACTTTTTAAAAATAAATAAAGAAAAGAATATATGAAAAATAGTTAAAATTTTAAAATGATCTTTTACAATAACTTTGATTAGGGCTGGGACTTTGGAACCAAGAACCGGAGAACCGAATCGGACTGAACCATTATGAACCGGTTCGGTTCAGTTCCAACATTTATTAGTTATTTGTCAACGGTTCGGTTTTCATTTTTTATTAACGGTTCGGTTCTCGATTCCTGAAAAAAATATGTAACAAGAATCGTTAAGGAACCGTTATATATCATAATTAAAATTATATACATATTCTTAGGAGTATATATATTTTAATGCATATTTACTTACTTATTTTTATATTACATTCATTGTTTTAGTTTTGTTATTTAACTATTTAAAACTATTATTCACTTCAACCGGTTCTCTTAGGCCTCTCATTAGGTCCAAACTCCAGCGGGTCGAAACTCGGAAGGTCCAAACTATTTAAAATTATTATTCTCTTTAACTGGTTCCACATATTTGTATGTAATTTCCAACGAAAATGTCTTTTTGCCAAAAATTTAGTTGTAATTTGTAAGTATTTTTTCAAAGACTAGGAACCGTTAAATGATAAGAACCGAACCGTTAAGAACGGTTCAGTTCCTTAACGGTTCTATAAAGTAATTTATAAGAACCGAACCGTTAGTAAAATTTTCGTGTTTTCAAACGGTTCCACATATTTTGCCTAGGAACCGAACCGGTCCGAGGCCTAACTTTGATCATCTCTAACCAAAAAAATAATTTTAAGCTTAGGTACTTCAATTATTACAAAGTTTTGGTACCCCAAGCTTGCTGCTTTTCGCTCAATCGCTTCTAGCACGAGATGGAACTGTGCAAGCTATTCATGGACATCACAAGAAAAGATCATTTGTCCTAAGTAAGTGATTTGTTTTTATAATACACCAATAACAATACACCATCATTTAGAGATTTCATGTCCATCACTCCATCTACCGGCCATTTTCCATTTGTGGGTTTTGAATTAGAACTTTGGACAACTTATATAAGTTTAAAGGTTCCTGGTAATTTTTATGCTTCATGCTTTTAGTGCTTCAAACATTCATGAATATTACCAAAGTATTTAGCATTCTTGCCTCCAAGGTGCTTGACAAAATTTCTATAAGAAATCAAATAATTCTTGAACCTTGTTCTTGTTCATTTTTTATTGGAAATTCTAGATAAAATGACAGAATATTTATCGCACTTTTGACCATTGAGAACGTAGATGAATTAGTACACGAATGTGCTAGACAATTTATTTTTGGGGGTTAGTATATTTCTTTGATACTTTTAAATCTCTAATGATTTGGTGGCATGAATTTTAAACTTTTCAATATGGAAGTGTTGTTGTTTTGCTGGGGTTAGTATGCATGTAATATGTGTTTATTTATTGTGCATAAATGCATAACAGATGGGAAAAAAAACTTTCTGCCAGGCTTGTTCACTGTATCTTGTCAACCATAGCTGAGTAAATCGAAAACACATATTACATGTCTAACAACTGACTCTTTTAGGTATACAAACCTACTGACTGAATTCCATTCGGTTGGGTTACCCGTTCACTCTTCTGGAAACCAACAAAAAACATCCGACACTGACCAAGACCAACCCAGCGAACACTCCTACCTTAATCCAATGTAATAACTGTAGTAGGACAAATATCCGCAGTTAGAATTATACATAGTATTTGGCAAGGATACATCTCTCTCCAGTGATCGAGAAAGTTATTGACCGAGTGGAGGCAACGGAATCAGTCATTTGGATTCGAACAGTCCATGCTTGTATTTCATGATTGTGTTTTATCACCTCGATGAGTGAAAAAAGTTTAGCTAAAGAAACTCAAGAATCTGGAAAAAGCGATTTACGCAAAGGAGAAGAATTTGCAGCTGAAAATGTAGAACTATATTCTGAAAATGTTAGGAAAAATAATCGAATTAGGGATTCAATTGATAGGATCAGTGCATTGCCAGATTGCTTACTTGTTCACATCATATCTTTTCTGTGTGTGAAGGAAGCTGCTCATACGAGTATTTTGGGGAAAAGATGGCAGTTTCTTTGGACTGAATTGCAAAGCCTTGAATTCGAATTCTATGATTGGGGTGAAAGTAAGGAAAGTAAGAATACAATTGAATTTGTGACTTGGGTTAATAGGATCATTGCTAATCGTCGTGGAAATTATCTTGAGAAGTTGATGGTTGATTTCAAGTACGAGGATTGCTTTTCTACCGATGTTGATAACTGGCTCCAGTTTGCCTTGAAAAATAAGGTGAAAGAAGTTAGTTTGAGAATGAACTTCAACCAAGATTTCTACATTCTTCTTGAAATGATGTATTCAAATTCATCCTTGACATCATTGTATCTGGAAGGTTGCATTTTGGATCCTGAAAGAACAATCAAATGGTCATCCTTGACTAAATTACAAATATCGGGAGTGGATTTGCCTCAGTCTGTAGTTGAGAAGAATTTATCAGGGTGTCCTGTTTTGAACTCCTTGGATCTGAGTGAGTGTTGGGGATTCACTTGTTTGGAGATCAACTCTCAAAATCTATGTGAACTGCGAGTAAGGGACTCTGAAAATGAAGAAAGTGTTGGTTTTCTTCAAATTTCAGCACCCTATATAACATATTTGAGTCTTTGGTTGCATCATGCCGGAAGACAAATAAACCTCAAAGACATCTCATCTCTTGTTAGTGCTAGTTTTTATTTCATCGAACCCTTTTGGAATTTGATAATTCCTGAGGATGATTTGAGTAGTACGAAAGAATTTTTTGAAAAGATTCATCATATCAAGGAGCTTGAACTGGGTCCCGAACCTCTTAAGGTGTGTATTGATGCTCCAAGTTTTTTTCCCATTCATGTGTCTCAAAAATTGAAATTCAAGTGATATAGCCAAACTTATAAAAAAATATCTTAGTTGAATTCATTTATGTTGTCTCAATAGAATAGTCTCATTGAATATCTATACCAAATGATCTTCAATATGTAATTCAATAGTTGGTTTGTCATTGTTTTTAAAGGTAGACACTACGATAAACCTGTTGGAGTTTATTCTTATGCAAACATGGGGTTATAATGATAACACAGGTGATAAATCTTGTGGACGAATACATCTCATTCACTAGTGTCATGGCATTAACCAAATTGACATATCTACTGTGTCTATATAGGAGAGTTACGGGAGAAAATAAATTTTGGACACTAGTGCAAAATACATGTTCTATAACTCGTCTTTCATATGGGGTAGCTAGGAACCGTAATAGTAAGTAGGAGCGAGGTCTATTTCATAAATAATTAAAGGTTCTTGTCACTTTGATGGGTACAAATTGAAATTAAAAATCTTATTCTATAACGGTTGTAAGAAACACCGACATTAAAAGAGAAAACGGGGTTATATTTATAATTTTATGAAAAACAAATTACATTCGGGGTCTTTTTTATGAATTTGAAGAATACGATTTTTACGTCTGTTCCTTTTGAACCCTTGTGGAAAATTTTTAAGGAGTATTTCATTGAGCCCAACTTCACTTGAGAGAAGCTACACAAAAGACATAACCCATTAACCCTAGTTGGCTGAACTGAAGACACTCCTGGACGCCGCCGCCTCACTATCGCGGTTCCACTATCGCGCCTCACCATCGCAGCTCCACCATCGCGGCCTCACCATCGCGGCTCCACCGTATCCTCGCTCCACCATTGCCGCCCCGCCATCGCCCCTCCACGATCTCCGCTCCTCCATCGCCGCCTCACTATCGCCGCTCCACCATGACGCTCCACTACCCTGCTTGCTCGTCCATCCTTAGTTGCTGGAGTTCCATCTCCTAGTGCCTCTCTGTCATCCATTACGGTAAAAATACGATTATTTGCCATGTGTGTACATATCAAACGAAGCATAATAAATTTCAACATAGTAGCTTTCTAATCCTTCAATTATACTGGAGTGATTTGATTGTACTAAGTAAATCAACTGTAAGATGGCTACTATGAGCTGAGTCATTTTCACACTCATACTAGATATTTAACAAATTGCACTTCTAGTTCTATTTTGTAAGTGTTTTTGTATTGGGTTTGTCAATTTACTCTAAAGTTAGATTTTGTCTAAAAAATTATTAGTACTTTTAACTTTTATATTGCTGAGTATAATTTATTTTTTTTAAAAAGCCTTAAACTTTCATAAAAATTTGCCTTCAAAATCTCTGTCTTATTAGATTAGAAATTAAAGAGAAGAGATGGTTAATTTTAAGTATTGTCCAATGTTCTCTCGACTCTTATTTTTTTCAAACTGAAACATTTTATTTATATTTCCCACCCTAACAATTAGATACCAAGGTGTTCTCCATTATTCTGGAACTATTACTAAGGAAAAAGGAACATGAGCTCCTTTTTAAGGTGTTGGAGGTATTGGTCCTGCCAAGGCCTCCCTTCCACTTATTCGTGTTAAGGCCTGCACCCTAAGTTTAGCCGTACTCCTATTATTTCCTCTTGGTTTGTTCACTACCTAATCACATGGCCTTGTTATGTCTTGCCCGTTGCTATCCTATCTGCTACCTTACGTTTGGGCTCCCTTTGTTTTGTCTTTCTTAGACATGTGACTCACTTGATTAGGAAAGCATCTTTTTGAGCTCCATATATTTGTGGCCAGTGAGTATGAGAGAGTTGACTTTCTCCTTTGTGTGAGAGAGGCGTGAAACTAGTGGGCAGTAGCTATTGAGAGTGTATCTCCTCCTTTGTGTGAGTAAATAGAGAGTTAGAGTATAGTCCTTCTTCTTCCCTTGTCCTCTGTGTGAGCTTGAGAGGTGAAAAAGAGTGTGGCTAAATTTGGTGAGTGGTGGAGTGGCTAAACAATCCTGGGGTGGTGTGTGTGAGTTGTTCTGGTTGGAGACCTGAGCTGAAATACACACCCAACAGTGGTATCAGAGCCTGGTTGCCGTCTGCCGCCGTACTCCGCCGCCGTCCGCCGCCGTCCGCCGCCGTCCGCTGCCGTCCGCCGTCGGAAAGGGCTCGTCGCAGGTCCCTGAAGCTTTGTCTGACCTGGAAGCTGCTGGAGCTCGTCAATCGGAGAATCGCCACCGTCGTTAGTGGTTGCTATTTCTCGTTCGCCGTTCGCAGGAGCTAGGTGCTTCGTCCACCATCGAAGCTAGCTGTATTCCGCGTGGGAGTCGCTGACCAGGAGGTGGACTCTCGCCGCTTTCCACCACAGGACACCAGCCGTCACAGGGAGGTCTTCGATCGCCGATTTGTTCGCCGATGAAGTTGTCACCCGAAAGCCGCCATCCACAGTCGCAAGAGCTCGCCCAAACCTGTTCTTCGAATTCCGCAGGGAGACGATTTGAGGAGCTCGGAAGCTGATGCAGAGGACCGGATCTGGAAGCATTGGCCCGAACCAACGCAGGTCTGGAGCAGGGCTGTGAAGCTGGACGCGTGGTGTTCGTCGCTGAGCTGCTGAGGTCGGCCGTACGTCGCTGGAGGCTGAGACAGTGAAACTCGGTAGCTTCCGATCTCCGTTCGAATCTTGCGCAGAAGCTTTCTCGCGTACAAAGGACGCAGAGAACATTTTACCTGGACTGTTCATTGGAAGCTTGAGACTTGAACTTTTGGGCTGGTCAAAGGTGGATACGTGGGGCTACTTGGCTGCTGGTTTGCTGGGCTTGGTTTTGGGCTGGATTGCTGGATCTTGGAGCTGGACCTGGAGGCTTGACGTTGAGGCACAGTAGGTGACTTTACGTGAAGTTGCTGGTGCAGAATAGAGGAGCTCTTGCCCCTTGGTGGACTTGGTCAAATCGGTCAAAGCCAGTCAAAGGCAGTCAACGCCGTCCGAAAAATCCCAATTTTTTAAATTGGGTGGGTAAGGTCGAAACGCCTCTCCTAGGGTTTCGCTCCGGTATATTGACTTTTATCCTTTTTATCGCTTTTGTAGTGATTTAATCTTTTATTGTGTAGAAATTATGTTTTAGGTTTATTACTGCTTTTAAAATTGATTGAATTGTTGTATTGTGTTTGTGCTAAAAATTTATTATTTATTTGTGCTTATACGGAAGAACAAGGGGTTTGAAGTTGAGTTTGGTGCTCATTAATACTCCCCGCGTGTTCGTGCTAGTTGCTCCGTATATTTGTAGCCTTATAAATATTTAAATTGTTTTTAGCGAAAATTTACAGTTTATTTTGTTGCTTATTTTTCCTCTGTGAAAATGTCTGCTTATAATCAGTATGGTATGGCTCCATTTAATGGAAAATCTGATTTTAGCATTTGGAAGCAAAAAATTAAATGTATTTTAATACAACAAAAATGTTTTAAAGCAGTTGGTGAAACCTATTTAATTTCTGACACAGAAGATAAAAGGGCTGAAATGAATGAAAATGCATGTTCTGTGATTTATTTGAACTTATCTGACTCTGTGATTAGAAAAGTTGGAATTTTAGAGAGTGCTAAAATTCTGTGGGATAAATTGAATGAACTGTATACTGAGACCTCTTTGCCTAACCGGATATTTTTACTTGAAAAGTTCTTCAAATTTAGACTAGATATGTCTATAGATATTGAAGAAAATCTAGATGTTTTTACCAAACTTATTTCGGATATTAAGTTGTGTGGTGATAAGCATATAGATGATTATTCCCCTATTGCTCTTTTAAATGCTATTCCTGATTCCTTTGGTGATGTGAAATCTGCTATCAAGTATGGTAGAGATAATGTGACTCTTGACATTGTGATAAATGGTCTTAAGAGTAAGGAATTAGATTTAAAACAGATGGGTGAGGGTAGAAAATCCGAGGAAGTTATGCATGTGAGGGGTAGAGAAAATAATAGTAGACGACATAGATCTAAGTCTAGGTCTAATTCGAGGCGTTGCTATTATTGTCACGAATCTGGTCATTTCATAAGAGACTGTCCTAAATCTAAGAAAAATGAGCATAGTGAGCATGCTAATTTGACTACGTGCGTAGATGATTTAGGTGATGTGCTTATGATGAAAAATCTATGTGATTATGACTATTTGAGTTCTGTGATATCTGATTCCTTGGGTAAATCAGATTGGGTGGTAGATTCTGGTTGTAGTTTTCACATGTCCCCTATGAAAAATGTTTTTTCAAACTATAGAGAGATTGAGCATGGCTTTGTGTTTTTAGCAAATGAGAAGAAATGCAATGTGCTAGGAATAGGAGATGTATGCCTTAGGTTTTCTTCTGGTTATGTGCTTACTTTGAAGAATGTTAGGCATGTTCCTGAGCTGTGTTGTAATTTGCTATCTTGTGCTTCTCTTGAAAATGAGGGTTTGAAGGGAAAATGGGGAAAGGGAATCATGAAAGTTGTGAAGGGTTGTTTAGTTGTTTTCAAAGCTGAGATGAAAAACAACTTGTATGTTTGTCATGCTGAACCCGTACTTGATTCTGTGAATTGTGTGCAACCCTGTGTGCTAGGAAAACAGTCTAGAGTTGGTTTTCCTGATCTGCCTAAGTGTACTAATCTGCTTGATTGTATTCATGCTGACTTGTGGGGTCCTTATAGTGTTTCCACTCATGGTGGGAAAAATTATTTTCTGACGTTGATTGATGATTTTTCAAAGAAAGTGTGGGTTCTGTTGATTGAGAATAAATCTGAAGTTTTTGATAAGTTTAAAAACTGGAAAACCCTTGTTGAAAAACAAACCGGTAAGAAAATTAATTTTTTAAGGACCACTGTCAGTTTTGATTTCTGTGATAGTCAGCTTGGTGATTTATGTGATACTTGGGGTATTTCTATGCATAAATCTGTTCCCTCCACACCCCAACCGGATGGGGTTGCTGAGAGGATGGTTAGAACTTTATTAGAGAGGGTGAGGGCTATGTTAGCTTCATCTGGGCTCTCTAATAAGTTCTGGGGGGAAGCTATTTGTTATGCTGTTGATTTGATTAATATGTCCCCGTCTGTTCCCTTAGGAGGGAAATGCCCTGAATCTGTGTTCATGGGCAAACCACTTAACTTGCCAAATTTGAGAGTGTTTGGTTGTGCTGCTTATGTTAATCGTGTGAATGATAAATCTGAACCTAGGACTAAGGAATATGTTTTCTTAGGATATCATGATTGCATGAAAGGTTATAGGCTTTGGTGTAGGAGTGAAACTTGTTTCAATGTGTTGATGAGTAGAAATGTCATTTTTGTTGAAAATGAATTTCCTTGCCTGCTTGTTGCTCCTGATGTTGCTCCAAATGAGGTGGAGCATTTGCCTGATGTTCATTCTGATTTACTTGTTGAAACCGAACCCAAATTTGTGGATGAAAATATTTTTCATGGTGAAAATAAAGAAAATAATATTTCTATTAAGGTGGAGCATGATATGAATGTTGTGTGCAATATGCTTGAGTTGCGTGATTGCCATGTTATTAGAGATAGAGACATTAGGAAGCATGTGAGAAATAATATGTGCAATGTGTTTGACTATATTTCCTCTGAATTTGCTTTAAATGTGCTTAATTCTCTATTAATTAAAATCTTTGTGATATTTGGTATGCTATTTTCTTTCTGTTTTGAAAATGTGATACCAAGTGATTATGTGAGCTCTACCTGTGCTAGTTATAGAAATAATATTGTTTCTTTTATTTTCTTTATACTTGCTTTGTGTGGTTGTTGGATTAGTTGGAATCCCCAACTTCTCCCGGATGCTTGCTTGTGTGGTCTATTAACATGTGTTGTGCTTGTTAATAGTTTTGTGATGGTTTTGGTTCTGAACTCGAGGACCGATTGGTAGAGTTCAGTCCATCGTGAAGTGGGTTTGCACGGTAAGCTTGGTCCGAAAGGGAACTTTGGTTCTCATCTATTACTTGTATGATCGCAATGATGTACTTGTAATGGTTCAGCGATGATGAGTCTCCTCACAACCGTGTATTTGTTACTCTACACCACCTAGGACCAATAAGGTGGAGAATGTTGGAGGTATTGGTCCTGCCAAGGCCTCCCTTCCACTTATTCGTGTTAAGGCCTGCACCCTAAGTTTAGCCGTACTCCTATTATTTCCTCTTGGTTTGTTCACTACCTAATCACATGGCCTTGTTATGTCTTGCCCGTTGCTATCCTATCTGCTACCTTACGTTTGGGCTCCCTTTGTTTTGTCTTTCTTAGACATGTGACTCACTTGATTAGGAAAGCATCTTTTTGAGCTCCATATATTTGTGGCCAGTGAGTATGAGAGAGTTGACTTTCTCCTTTGTGTGAGAGAGGCGTGAAACTAGTGGGCAGTAGCTATTGAGAGTGTATCTCCTCCTTTGTGTGAGTAAATAGAGAGTTAGAGTATAGTCCTTCTTCTTCCCTTGTCCTCTGTGTGAGCTTGAGAGGTGAAAAAGAGTGTGGCTAAATTTGGTGAGTGGTGGAGTGGCTAAACAATCCTGGGGTGGTGTGTGTGAGTTGTTCTGGTTGGAGACCTGAGCTGAAATACACACCCAACATAAGGTAACATTATTGACCTCATGTAATAAGTTGGATGTTTTAGAAGTTATACTCATTGGTGTGATTATTCATTGTAGGAGATGGAATCAAAAGGCCCTATTAATATGTGATGCTGGTCTCATTTTTTTGGATTGCTAGAGAAGATAAAACAGCTTCATGCCCAGGTAAAAATAAAAACAAAATCTATTACTTATTCAGAAATTACCCTAAATAGGAGTAAAAACGTTTTGAAATTCCAAAATAGGAGTATCATGTTTTTTATTCCCTAAATAGGAGTAATCTGCCAAGTTTGGAAAAAAATGCCATGTTTAAAGCCTTGTAATTTCCAAACTTGGCAGAAATTTACTCCTATTTAGGGAATAAAAACATGATACTCCTATTTTGGAATTTCAAAACTTTTTTACTCCTATTTAGGGAATTCTCTCTTACTTATTTATGCTCTAAAAATTCTTTGCTGCCAAGAGATGATATGAAATGAGCCAATGAGGTATAAAGGAATACAGGATGAAACTTGTCAAGTTAACAAAGAAGTGATCAAGATGCTATAGGGTTGAGGAATGATGTTTGGAATGAAGTGAGGTACTTATTTATATATTTGTCTAGTACCATTTGTAATAATCTCTTCTTTAATTTGTGTTTATAATCTGACTTGCATCACTTATGGAAATAGTTTTTGCAGCTAGTACGTGAATTGCCATTTCACACAATGTTGAAATCAGTTTCTTTTCATTTAGACCGTTAGAGCTCTGTTGTTTATACATAATACATTGCTCAAGAGTCACCAGTAACTAATAGTTTGGATATAATACACGAACAATAATGTATGAATAGATATTGCTTTTGGATATAATACGTTGAGGATAGTGTATTTCTCTTGTAGAAAAATTTTGGTCTCTTTAAGCACCTAAGTGTTGCTTTATGTCTTTCACTGAACGTTCTAATTCTATTCCTAGAGGGAAAAAAATGAAAATCTGTGATGATACTTATAGTTTACATGTATGGTATGTAATATTAATTGACTTATAGATTAATTTGGAGTCTCGAATGTTGACATATTTGGAAATTTGCTTTTATCTATGCAGATGATGATGATTCCATACATGGTGGTAATAACGTTTTACTTATATTAATATTTTACTTATCCTTCTACCTTTTTTTACTTGTGCACTTGTACATGTTTTACTTGTGCTTACTTTTTCTATTCAATTTGTAGGTTTTCAATGTTCAGGATCCATTATTCATTCAATGTAACAAGACGCAAGAGCAGTGGGCATCCTCTGACATTACGTGCATTTTGTAGTATTTTTATTGTATTTTATAAGCATCTCTTAAAATGCTATGTAATTTTTGTTGAATACTTGGAAAATATGATATCTAGTGGGATTGTGGAAATATTGTATTCCGTATTTTTAATTAGCATGATTTATAATATGCAATTGATATGATTTTGTTATGTTGGCATTTTTCTTGATATTGAATTGCATTTTTAAAAAAAGGATCTAATAGTGGAGATAAAAAACAAAAAATCATTTCGGTTCTATCCACTAAAATTTACATTCAATAACGGTTGACTTGCAGATGACTTTGAATGTGTAATTCGTACATATCACATTCCATAACGGTTCCTGTAATAGCCGATATTGAAAACTTTCCGTAACGGTTCCTAGACCCCATATAAAAGGTGTCTACTTTTAATGTCGACTGAATCTATGTCGGGTCTAGAACCGACATTAAAAGTCGATTTTAACCGACATAGAAAGCTCTTTTTCCACTAGTGGGATAAAGACAACGAGTTTAGAAAAAACATTTGTACAGAACCAAATTCTAAATATTATGCATTCTAAATATTTTTTTTTGTTTCCAAGAAAGAATAGCAATTAGCTAACTTAAATACTTAATTGATTGCAAGCTTGCTAGTTTTGCAGCAAAAACCATTTGTTATGCACTTGGGGTGATCAGTACGTCTTGGTTTCACATATTGAAGTGAAATGTGGGTTAAATTCTAGAAGATAGTTGGTCAAACATAGATTTAATATTGTGTGAAGCATAAATGAATATTCAAAAGTAAGGTTGGTTTTAGAAACCAAGAATCCAATCAATATAAATTGAAACACAATAAAAAATAAACGAAACCACAAAAGGAGAGTGCACAACTTTAAAAAAATCAACTCTTTTTTCAATACACAATACTAATATAATCTTACTTTGACATTGTTCCAAAAAATCAGACAAACATCTGTTCTCTAACGCATAATGCAAGGATATATTTATTCATTCTCCACTTTTTATCTAGTATGTTCGCATTGTCTTTTTATGTTGCGGGTTTGGTTTTTGTGTCACTTTTTAAATCAAATGACTACTGTACTATAATTTTGTGTAAAAACGGAAGAACTGAACCAATCAAATCGTGGTTTCATGATTGATTTTGTCTCAAAGTCGAACGGGAAAACCAAACCCACTCCTATTTAAAATTTATTTTCTTGTGTCGAATATATTCAGGAAGATCTACATTAGCATATACTATGTAAATATAATATATGTGTTTCTATGCAACATGTCCAGGCTCTAGCTGTGTTGGTGCTTAATGGTTGGCAGCTTCCAAAATATAAGCTAAGGTGTTTGGAAATAGAAATGATATGTGGTGCTGGGCAAACCATTCCTGGCATTTTAGACGTGCTTGAATCTTCTCCAGAAATTGAGACATTGGTCATGCGTTCTTATCACAACGAAGATGTAAGTGTTAACTTTCAGGCCTTGATTTTTGGTATGAATATTTGTTTATTTTTGTCTCAGATAATTAATATAAATGTGTGTTTACTCCACATTACGTAGTACTTCGTATTAAATATAAGTTTGTCTTAAATTTGTTGTGATTTTAGATGGACGATGACTGGGGCCCCACCTACAAGGGATAATTTGGTTTGTGACTTACTGCGTGCATTTGAAGACAATCAAAATGTTTAAGTTGGCAGATCCAAATCTTGGTGGTGAACCAATGCTTACGTTGGCTCGAATCCTTCTGAAGAGGACACCAGTATTGGAAGAGATGGAGATTTATGCTCATATTGAAGATACAAATATCTTTGTCAATATAGGACAAACCTTGCTCAATTATCCTAGATCCTCGCCAAAGGCAGTCATCAATCTCTATTAGATTGTTGGCTTTATGTGTTCACAGGGGCGGCCCTAGGGGGGGTGCAAGTGGGGCGGGCGCCCTAGGCCCAAAAAAAATATGGGTAAAAAATAGGCCCAAGTTTAGTTCTTTGTAACATGTGTGTAGGCTGATTTTCGACCCTAAAGTAACAATTTTTCGAGTGGAATTTGTTGAAGTTCTTCTGAATGTTTTCTATGAAGTTTAGAATATGTGAGAAAAAAATCAATTTAAAGTTTAATTTAGAAGTCACCTAAATAAATTATTGAAAACACTGCTTTTTTATCCATATTTTGGCACATTGTGTTTCAATAATTTATTTAACTGACTTCACGGTTGCATTTTAAGCTCAAATTTTATGGACATAATCTACACGTGATGAAAACATTCTCTAAAAAATTTCATAAAGAAATTTCACTCGAAAGCAGATTAGTCGGATGTGATTATTTGATTAGTTTATTAATTGATTTCATTCATGGTTGTTTGATTTCGTAATTGTTGATTGTTTTTTATTGAGTGTTGGTATTATAACTTGTTGAATTTGTTAGACAAACATTTCAATTATGATAAAATTATAAACTTAATTAATTTCAAAGTGTAATAAAAAGGATTGAATCTGAATACGATAAATACAAAAGAATAGAAGATTAAAGAAAGCGGCGATAAGTAAAAAAAAACACTCAATGGAAAAGTTTGTTTGTGTAAAAAAGACAAATTCTGAATGTCCTTCTCAAGATGAGAACACATAGTCAAATTCTAAATGTCTTAAAATATTATTATTATAATTATAATTATTATGCATGTCATTTAAGATAGAAAAGAGTTCCACAAATTTCTTGTAACATTAGGCCCATTTTTATTTTCCGCCCCTAGGCCATTGAACATACAGGGCCGCCCCTGTGTGTTCATTTTCTCAATTGTGTAAACAATTTGCTATAGCTACTCTACCTTTTTTTTCCCTATTTGCAGAATTTGCTACTAGTGGCATGCTTGAGATTTAATGTCTAGACATCGTATTTCATCTACTTCTAGTAGAAGATTAATTATGAAGGTGGAGAAAATGAACCTTTGCTGAAAATGTTGGGCGCTTGCTATATACAGTCTTCGGTGGTATTTATGGCCGTATCATTAGTTCTTCTATGAAAACTATCTAAAAGCATCATTTTCACTATTCTTGTTACGAGGGATATCGGCCATCACCCAAGTTATGGCCTACTTATCATAGCCGTCGCCGACCATCTTCATTCATAGCCTCACTTCTCACCACTGAGAACGGTTGCAATAAAAACACAGTACCAAGTACCATGCATATAAATCACATTGACAAAATGCAATGAGTAGTTTATAAATTTTGTAAAAATATTGAGTCGTTTATAGTCTAATCATGAGAATATATGAATTGTCTATAAATGAAAATTCAACAAAGTAAGAAACTAAAGCAAAAAGATTTGATTGAAATGGACGTAGGGTAATACAATTTTTAAGGTAAAACGGTCAAATATGTCTTTCTACTATTTCTATTCATCACTTAATTCCCTGTCCTAAGATCGAAAGTATCTTATAAATGCGTTTAGTTTAAAAATAGGGGAAAATAATTTAAATATTTCGAACTTTAAAGGGTGTGAGATTAGTACCCCCAACTTGCACATGTAATTATTTCAATATACTACATGCGTTCTCTTTTAATTGCAACATTGGACTTTTTACACTATTCACATATTCTACTTTGACTATATTTTATTTATTAATGTATTATAAATTATTTTTTTTTAAATATTGTTAAATTCTTCTTATTTTAAATTTTCAAAATAGGAATTTTTTAAATTTTTTACTAATAAGGAATGAAAGATATTAATGGTCAAACTTGTGTGTTGGCAAACGTGAAATGTTGATTGTTGCAATTAAAAGGGAACGGAGGAAGTATATAGCCTAAACTTTATATAAAAAGTTATATTAATACCATGATCATATATTTTTTCCCAAATATAATTTTATGGTGTTAAGTGCATAATTTAAAACACACCAAACATTTATGAGGATGCTATTTAAAAAAATCGTACCAGATGTAATATTATTTATTTGACAAATGAAATTTTAGAATGTTAACTCCATTCTAACAAAGCTTAGAATATTTTAAGTTATGCAATTATTCAAATAAATTTGAATTTGTAAAAAACATACAATCATGGTGCCAAAATAACTTTTTATAGAAAGTCCAAGCTATATATTACATATATATGCGAGTTTGAGATACTTATCTCACACCCTTTTAAAGTTTGGGGTATTTAAATTATTTTACTCTTAGAAATACATTCAATTAAGCCATTTTACCTGCTATAGCAGGTTATTAAAAAAACAATTAAAAGTTTTATTATTCTTACAAAAGTTTAATTATGTAAATTTGAAAAATAATGAAAAAATAATATAAAAACAATATCAGCTCAAAAGTATAGAAAAAACTTAATACTTTAAAATAATAAAATATTAAAAACAATCAGTGAAAGTGTAAAAATTTAAAATTAAAATGTAATAACTTTTAAAAGATATAGAATATACAAATCATTCCAAAATTACAATAATCTAAATTACTTGTAATATCTTTTAAATTATATAGACTATACATGTTCACCAAAACTTTTTAAATAACTTAGAATGTTTTCTTGTGGACTGTAATTTGTTGATCTGGTCTGGTCTGTTTAAGTCTGATCTAGTCTGGTCTAGTCTAAACTGGTCTGGTCTAGTCTGATAAATGTCTAGTCTCTGTGCATGTTATAACCGTATAAATCTGGTATGGTCTGATCGGTCTAAGTTTGGTCTGATCAGTTTAAGTCTGGTCTGGTGATCTGGTTTAGTTTGAGCTAGTATGAGCTGAAAACAGTCCAAATGAAAACATTCTTAATTAACCTTATTTAATTCCATGAATCTTATTGAATTAAATAATTACTTTTGAATTACATTTTTTGTCTATCAAGGGTGTTCCTAAGCGACCAGAAATTTTCTTAATAATACAATAATATATACTACCTCTATTCCACTAACATTGTGACAATAAGATGTGACATTGTTATTAAGAAAAATGAGTATATTGAATTGATAAAGTGAAAATAAAGTAAGAAAGATTTAGATTCACACAAACTTTACCGAATTTGATATTAGACAATCTTAAGGTATTTTCCGAAAAGGTAAAATGAAACAATGCGGAACGGAGAGAGTATAAAATTATTTATTTTAAAAATAATATTATATTCCTAATTCAAGATAAGTGCATATTATGATTTGTATTTAT